CTCTGTCTCTCTGTCTCTCTCTCTCTCTCTCTGTCTGCTGTCACTCATATATTACATCCCAACCACAGTTTCTCCTCCCTCCTCTCCCTCTATCCCCCTCTCCTGGCCCCCAACCACTCTCCTTGAGTAAAGGGCAGGCCACCCAGGGATGATATCAAGCAAACATGACATATTAAGTTGCTGTGATTAAAGCTGAATGAGACAACCCAGTGGGAGGAAGAATCCCAAAAGCTCCACCAGTGCTCAGGATTTTGATTCTTAAAGCTGCAGACTCAGAATTATCTCCAAATAGCTTCCAGACATTGTGCTATGGGAGAACAAAAATATTTCTAGTTGCTAGTAGCTCTGAAGACTCCAGGATTTCTGTAAGGTTGGACTGGAACTCTACTCACTAATGAGTCTAGATTGAGTCCATGGGTAAACTGTATCTGTATTTTCCCAATATCTTTGCTCTCTCTCTCTCTCTCTCTCTCTCTCTCTCTCTCTCTCTCTGTCTGTCTCTGTCTCTCTTTCTCTCTCTGGGGGGAGGCGGAGGTGTCTTGCATCTACTCCACCACTGGGATTGGCCAATTAGGGAGCCAGAACACTACACTTAGCCCACGCCTTGCCCAGGCGGGTACAAGGCTGTAGGGAAATGCTGAGACACTGTTCTGGGGATATGAAAGCACAGCCTGAGATGTGGAAAAGCTAGAGCTGGTTCTGGAGTCCCTGGCCTGTGAAGAGGCCCAGAGCTGTTGGATTCTCTGACTCTTGGACATCCAAGCACTGCTGTGGGTCATGGAAGAGCCAAGAACAGAGTTGGGGGCTGTGGGCTGGCGACAGCATCTAGCTGTCCAGGAGTAAAGGAAGCTCCAGTTTGTCCCAGCAGTGATTGTCCTTAGCTTGGCGGAGGCAGACTTGGAGGTAGCTGTGTCTGGGAGTGCAGAGAGACCTTCTACAGGAGAATTGAGCTGTGATTCTGTAGCTGAATGCCTCCTCCATGGCACAGTCCATAGTTCTAAACAGTTTATTGTCTGTTCATGGTGGGAAATGGATGCATAACGTTCCATACCTACTTCTCAGGGTAGACCTGTGACTAAATATCTTTTACAGGGAGGAATGTCTGGGAAAGGAAGCTTATTGGCTAAGCCCTCTGGGCCTCTAGGCACCTCATTAGCATGGAGAACTGTTTTGGACCTATGTGACCATGGGACACCTCTCTCTCTCTCTCTCTCTCTCTCTCTCTCTCTCTCTCTCTCTCTGTGTGTGTGTCTCTAAATTTTTTTATTTATATGAGTACACTGAAGCTATCTTCAGACACACCAAAAGAGAGCATTGGATCCCATTACAGATGGTTGTGAGCCACCATGTGGTTGGTGGGAATTGAACTCAGGACCTCCGGCAGGGAAGTGAGTGCTCTTAACTGCTGAACCATCTCTCCAGCCCAGACACGTTTCTTTTATGTGAGAAGCATAGCTTGTGTTCCAGGTCAAGAGTCTGGAAGGGAACAGGGAGTCACCTAAGTCTTAGGTGTGTGCTCAAGTCTTGATTTCCTGGCATGGTTTTTACCATCCAACCTCTGTGTGTGTGTGTGTGTGTGTGTGTGTGTGTTTCTCTTTCTGTGTGTGTATGGCTATCCCTCTGTGTGTCTCTCTATCTCCCTCTGTGTGTGTCTCTCTCTCCCCTCCCCACTTTCACTTCTCTCTTCCTCTGTGTGTCTTTCTCTGTCTCTCTGTCTTTCTGTCTCTGTCTCTGTCTCTCTCTCTCTCTCTCTGTGTCAGTATGTCACTCTTTATGTGTCCCTGTCTCTGTCTCTCCCCCTTCCCCCACTCTCCTTTCCATCCTAATCCAGAGACCTCTGTTTCCCCCCTCTTCACAGTTGTTCATATAAAATTGCATCTCCTACTTGGTTTTGAAGTGGAAAACCTGACTACAATGAAACATATATCACTAGGGCTTCAGGATTCAAATGGAAGCCATTTATGTCTGTTCTCCTACTTCACCAGGACGTTTGCAGAAAAGTGAGTGGCCACAGAAAGTATGACACTAAGCAAAGTGACTCGAACCTCCAAAAATCAAACGGGAAACAAGCATCACACATTCTCCTTTGGTGAAGATCCTAGCCTGCGATGTACACATGTATATATGGAAACACTGTAAATGTGGGTAGAGTGTAACATAGAAACGTGATGGAGAAAGGTGTGACATCAGTGATAGGAAGTACAGAACGCAGTCATGAAGGATAGAAAGATACCTTCTTCTGGTTTCAGCCGGCATGATTTTGAGTGTGTGTATGTTTATATGTACATATGCGTACCTGTTTGTGTGTGCAGGTGTCTATGTATCAGTGTGTGAGTGTGTGTATGAGTGTGTGTGTGTGAATGTGTATGCACATGTGTGTGCACATGTGTGTGCATGTTTGTGTGTGTGCGTGCCCATCTGTGTGTGTGTGTGTTGAGTAAAAGTGTAATTGACGGAGAGAGTGTAAAAGCATAAAAAAGTTCCGTTGCTTCTAAATGTTCATTTTGTAACTGTGAAATGTCTAGTGAGGTTTGTAGAGTTTGGTACTGGGCAAATGTTATTAAGTGGCAACCTTAATTGAGCTGCATAAATTTTTTATGTATGAGTTCATTGCTTTGTTAGGTGATTTACATAAGAAATAAGAAAGAACCAATATTAAGGAATTATTTTCTTTGAATACTCAGTAGAAGCCAGTATTCTATCATGGATGATCCCACAGGCATGTATCCACCATTGGGGAAAGCACCGAAGATGTGACCATGCTAACAGGAAGCACTCAAGTACCTTCACTGCAGTGGAGTGCTCGTGAGCATGCGCTGTTGGAAATCCTCACACATTTCTATCTGCTGCCTTTCTAGCATTTGCTGAAGTCGGAGGCTATGAGAGCTTTACAGAGAAGTACATGAATGCCATCCCCTCTATAGTCGAGGGGGACAACCTGACGATCAGCCCCAAGTGCTACACTCCTCAGCCAGACTCCTTCCACATCTTCCGAGATCCTATCACTGGAGACATCCCATGGCCAGCACTGATGTTTGGAATGACGATTTTATCCATCAGGTACTGGTGTGCAGATCAGGTGAGCATAGACATTTGCAGGTGTGACTGTGTTTATTTTTATTTTTTTGTTTGATGCAAAACCATCTAGCTTTTTCTATTTTGTGCACATTGACAATATTTAAAGTGTCAGATACTTTTCTATGTCTTGTCTTGTAGAAAACAGATGTCTTGTTCCCTCCTTACCACATTATGTTTTCTCCCCTCAGAGACACATTCAGCTCTTTCATTTAAGTTTTTTAAAGACTTCTTTTCTAGTCTCTAAACCACTGTGTTTGGTATATTTCGTGATACATCAGAACTGATATAATTTTGACAGCAATAGAAATAGCTACTCACCAAGTGTATCACACATCAAATCAGGATCTTAAACTTAATTGGCCCCCAAATGATGCAAAGGTTTATATTTCTCTCTTTAGACTTTCTAGTTTTAGCATTTTTCTCTTAATTGAGAATTGAGCTTTCTTCAGTTCCTGATCTTCTATTGTCCTGACCTTTCTGCAGCTCTTGATCACAATTTTAGAGCATTCAGTCAATAGTATTTGTCATTATATGAAAGTAATTATTTGCTATCACACACACGGGCACACATGTTTTGGCTCTCTCTGTGTGTGTATGTGTATGTCTACATGCATGTGTGTACTTATATATGTGTGGTTTTCTCTTTTCTATTAACAATTCTTACTTTTACCTTAAAGTTTCTTGGCAATCACTACTTGTTATGTATCAAAACATCTGCAGATTGGTGGAACACCCTAGAAGTATTTTTTTTTTTTAAACAGAGCTTTGGTATCAATCATATACCAGACTAGGAGATTCCACTTCTATTCTATCTCTGTAAACAAAATAGCAAGACTTCACACTGTGATCTCGTAGAAGCTGCTAAGAACAAAAACAGTGGGTCTTACAAAGAGCCCAGGAGAACACCTGGAATTAAAGGTGGGGGGGGGACTCCCACCCAAGAACAGTTTACAGAAATCTGGAGACCCGACTCCTTTTTTAATACACAGAAATGCACATAGGGATTGGAAAAAAAATGTAGAAACTGGAAAATCGATTCCAACTGACAGAAGTAAAATCTCCATAAACTCTCCATATTGAAATGGAGATATGAGATTTATCTAACGTAGTATTCAAAAAGGATGCTCACAACCCAACTCAGGGAGGAGAGAAAGCCAATAATTGACAGACTGGGAAGTTCACAAGATATTTAAAAGTAACAAGTTATTTAGGGGAAGGAGGCATAATTGAACTAAAAAGTCAATGGAAGAATTCAGCAGCAGATACACCAAGCAGAAAGAAATAACAACCTTGCGGGGAAGAAAACCATTCAGAGAAATAGAGATGGAAACTTCTCAAGTCTGGGAAAGGAACCAGAAATGCAAAGCCTGAAAGCTAACTGAGCAGCTAACAGGATGATTCAAAAGATGTTCACAGGAAGACATGTTTTGATCAACTGTCAAAACTTAAATGCAAAGACAAAATACTGAAAGCTGCAAAGAAGCTTTCCACACATGATGGGAACCCTCTGAGGCCAAACTGATTTTTTTTTTTAATGAAACGCCTGCAAAGCAGAAGAAAGTAAAATTTTTGTATTCAAACATATTAAATCAACCAAGAATATCATAAACAAAGGAGTTGTGTCTTTAGATTTCTGTGGACTGTTCTCAGATGGGAGCTGCCCCCCACCCCCACCTTTCATTCCAGGTGCCCCAGGGCTCTTTGTAACACTCACTGGTTTTTGTTCTTAGTAGTTTCTAAGAAATCACAGTGTGAAGTCTTGCTATTTTGTTTACAGAGATAGGATAGAAGTAGAATCTCTTACTCTGGTAGATTATTGATCCCACAGTGCTCCGGCCTGCAGGGATTTGATGAGACTCTAGGGAAAGGGGAAAAGAATGAAGGGACAAGAGACACAAAGGATGAGAACAAGTCTGGGGTTCTGATCAAGCTCTGAAACTATAATTTCAGGGGCAGGTTATGAAGACACAGCAAAACGGGAAGTTTAGGCAAGGGTCATTGCTCAGGGCTATCCCATGATTGAATCCTCCTTGTCTGAGGCCAGCCCACTGTCATATCCTATTGCTCAAGACCAGCCCACTGTCATATCGTTATTGCCCAAGAGCATCCCACTGTCATAGCTAGCTCCCAGGAAATATCAGATGTCCTTTGTGTTCCTGGGACCTGAGATCCATGAACGTCCTTTCTTAACCTTGCACTGACTAGGCTTTCCAGAACAGCAGGTAATTTCTTGGGATTTGCTCCCAGCATCTCCTCTCTTTTAACAATTTTAAACAAGGCTGGCAGGCAAATGTGGACATTATGAAATCTCATCAACGGATGAGTGGGCATTAACCAGAGGGGGGAAATATTAACCTGACCCTCCCAGTATTGTTCAAAATGGTGACTTTTTTGAGGAGGAGTTATTTGTCTCATGGGCCACTTAGGATATCGGGGGTCCTAGTTGGCTGCTTTGAGACACAAGAAATCAACACCAACCTCTATGAAATCAGGTTTGCTTTTTGGGGGACTCAGAAGTGGACAATTTGGGTATTTTCCCTGCAGTACTTCATCATGCACCCCTTGCATGTACCCATGTAATGTCCATGCCATGCCAAACCAACGTGCACAGATCTAAGTTCTATGCAGCTCCTAAAAGAGATCTGTCATTGCAAGGCTCAGCCAAGCCTCTGTCAGCCAGATCAAGTCTTTGATAATGTACGTGTAGAGGTTTAGGTGCCATGGAGTCAATTTGTTGTTTTATAAAGCCAGTGAGTCTGTTAAAGGCCGAAAGCCTAAAGGAGAAGGGGACTGACCACAGGGCCCAGGATGGAAGGGAGAAGGGTGGTAATCCAAGGAGAGGCAGAAAACAGTTTTTCTTGTTCTTGATGTTTCTTTCGCCATTCTAATGTCTCTTTGATCTTGGCCACACTATCTTTAACTACCCCAGTGTGGTCAGTATAAAAACAGCATTCCTCTTTGAGGGTGGCACAGAGACACCCCCCCCCCATTGAAGGAAAAGCAGACGAGCGATTTTTCCAGAGTAGTGATGCCAGTCTCTAGCTGTTCGATGTCCTTGTCAATGACCCATTGAAGTTCTGAGTAGTACAAGTCCTGAGGCCAGCATCAGGATCAGAACCTCCAACAGTAAACACCATGGGTGGCTCATTTTTATCTAGAAAGGAAAAAAGAAGAACATTCTCAGGGAGATCTCTCTTCCCTGGATCTCAATTGTTATCCATTTCATCTACAACTGGATCTGGCTTTGTGGAGGTATCTGTTTGTTTCACTAATCTTTCTGGCAGCCATCTAGCCATGCCTTCTTTGGTGTCAGACAGATCCTCGGCCCCATGTGAGAACTGGGTCTGGGCTGTTCCATTTAAAGGTAAGAGGGTCCTTCCACATAACTGTGGCATAATTTTTAATTAGTCTCAGGATGCCAGAGGTGATCAGTAGCAGATTTGCTGTGAGCATCCAGATTTAGAAAATTCAGAACAAATAAGGCATGATGGAGAATATTTTTTGGAGACCCCCTTCTGGGGGTATAATTCCTCCTCTTTTGTTTTTTAAAAGCCAATTTTTAGAGTTCCTTGCAAAACCAGGGCAGAAGCACCAGTAGCTGCTCCTCCCACACTCAGATAGTTATGAAGATATTATTTTAAAGTTCTATGATACCTATTTCACAATACCTTGTCCTTGAGGATTATAAGGAATCTTGTCAACAAAACATCTCAAATGTCTTACTGAAGTAGCCAGTTTCATTATCTATCTTAATCTGACATGGAATGCCAAGCATAGAAATATAATGTAGGCAATAACTAATTACATTTTTAGTTGCTTCTCTTGTTAAAGCAGTTGTAACTAGAAAGCCTGAAAAGGTGTCAAATCACACGTACATGTTTTAATTTTCCAAAATCAGAAATGAGTAACATCCACTTGCCATAATTGATTAGGTATAAATCCTCAAGGATTAACATTATTATGAAAAAATTGAGGATACAGAGAACAAGTTTTTGCAGTTTGACTTGCACACTCTCTAGAAATAACAAATTATTTTCTCAAGCTATTATTATTTTGATGATGTAAAGAATGAGATTGTATGGCCAATTGTTTCTGTAAGGCTTATAATCTGCATGGTATACAAATCTGCTGTGGCATTGCCCTGGGGTCCAGGAAATCCAGTATGAGCTCTTAAATGTCTTATAAAGTTAAGGAAAAGTACATGTTTCTTGAATTAAGCTGTGTTTGTAAAATTTCAGAATTAGCAATATCTTAAAAAGGAACAATTTCAAGCAATTATAAACCTTGAGCTATATACTGGCTATGAGTATACAAGTTGAAAGCTTGATTTTTCAGCATTTCAAACAGTAGGTACAGCACATAATTCAATTATTTGTGCTGAAGCAGGAGGAAACTTAAGAAAATGAACATGTGATCCAATTATATATACTGTCTTCCCATTAGGTGAACTGTCTGTAAATATTTTCTGCCTTTGAATATTTAACAGAGCAACAAGCATTCACCAAAAATTTAAAGCTCATTGTATGAGTGTGAAGGCTTGCATTAAATCTCCTTCAGAGAGATCAACTAATAAAATACCATACAATGAATAATATACACTGAAAAATTCAAACTCTTAACTTCTTGCATTAAAGCAACAACAAATTTTGTATATAATGTAAGGCTACTAGCCATTCCTTGAGGCAAAACTTTCTAGTGATATTACTTCATGGGTTCTCAAAAATTACAAGCAAACTTACTGAATGCAAACCTCCCACCTTCACCAGGATGTAAAGGAATGGTATAAAAACACTCTTCTAAATCTATAATAATTCTTTATGAATTTCACGGAATGGCATCTGGAGTAGGTAAGTCAGGCTGTAATGCCCCACAAGTTTCATAAATCTTAAGTTTGAACTTAGTTTTGGA